TCTGGCGTCAACCTCCCATATAGCAGTTTTTTTTTTTCTTTTCTTTTTTGCAGCATTGGCACCACTCAATATTGTTTCCTGTTGCTGCATGTAATGCCCTGCCATTTCCAGAAATTAAGAGAACCATTCCATGCACTCAATACATTAAAGGAGATTCATTGAGTGGTCTCAATGGTTAAAAGGGAGTGTTGTTCTGCTTTAAGGTTATGGGTTTGAGTATTTGCGTGTGCAGGGTGCATATGCGTTAGTATTTATGATGCTAAGACAAAAAAAGATATATCAACACAAACTACACTGACAAATTATTGGTGGAAAACTGGAACAACTCCATGTTTGTTTTCTTTTCTCAGAACAGAGTGTAAACAAAAGAAAACAGCAAGCACTTTTCCAGACCGAAACCTCTCAAGTTCATCCATACGGCACCTTATATTCCTGAAATTTATGAAACAAGATTTATTTAAGCACCACATTTCATCTGAAACGATCGAGTATTTTACTAAGATAAGAAAGCATTATAACCTGGTGATTGAGCAGCGTATGACGTTTTGAATCCCATGGCGGAATCGAGTTTGACAAAGAAGCTTGTCTCTAGAAGAACAAAGCTTGGTAACAACATCACTCATGACCATCCGCTCACCCGGTGATTCAGCAGAACAAGTTAGAGCTATTTCGAATATCAAATTCAAGCATTGAAGACTACCGTTTCTCAGGCTGTTTCAATGAGAGTGATGTCTGCAACTGTTCCTCCTCTGACACTCTCTTGAAGAAGGATGAGATCTATAATCTCAAGCATTTGATCCGGAAAAGCTTTCGCAACAAATTTGTGAAGACTCAAACCTTCTTTGAACCTTTCATCAGTTGACCTTTTCCCTGTAAACAAGCTGATAAATTGGAAGGAATTTCAGCACTGATGGAGTTATTTATAAGGTCTAATGTTTTCAGCCTTCGTAAACGACCAATTTCTTGAGAAATCTCGTTGTAGAAGCTGTTTCCCACTAGACTCAACTCCCTAAGAAAACTCAAGTTTCCAATGCATGGTGATAAAGATCCCGAGAGTTTGAGGAATTGCAGTTCCAACTTGGTGGCTCTATCATGCCGACAGCATGTATAAGAAGCCAACTCTGCTATTATCACCCGTCAATTGGTTCAAGTTCTCTGACTTTGAAAGTAATGCGGCTAATAATTTCAGGGGCTGCTTAACTTAGTGCATATTTGATAATACTGAAACAATTTCTTAATTGATGACATTTATATAATCTATATCCTGGTTTAATGGTAGTGGGAGATTGAATTTACATGCTTGCGACCGCATGTAATGCCACTCCACTGACACAAGTGAATCGAACTATTCCATGACTTATTGGTCAGTGTCATTTCCTCTAACAACAGGGGTTGCTGTTGCTATATTAAGACCCTGCAAGTTGAAGCATGTGAAAAGAGTTACAACTTCAACGCAAATAAGAAAAAACGGGATGGACGCTTCCATATGGTAAATAATTTCTTAATTGATGAGATTGATCTGCAAGTGAGAGTGATTTGTTAATAAACCAGAACTGAAGTGCAGTATAAGAAGCCAACTCTGATATTATCTCCCTTCAATTGGTTCAAGTTCTCTGACTTTGAAAGTAATGCGGCTAATAATTGCAGGGGGCTGCTTAACTTAGTGCATAGTTGATAATACCGAAACAATTTCTTAATTGATGATATTGATTTGGAACCCTGATATAATCTATATCCGATGGTTTACAGGTGGACCTTTGAGTTTACTCGATATAATCTGCTCACACCATGCGACAGAAGGATTTCGTGTATGTTAAACATTTTGTCGCACACTTTCAAATCCGACTAATGCAGAACCAGATATCAATCTCCCTTTAATAGCCATTAACATGTTCAATAACACTACTAATACAAGAAGATTTGAAGTTTAGTGACGATTTGAAAAAAAATAGTGGGGTGATCAAAATGGTAGGCAAGACTAGAATTGTGAAGCACCATTGAAATAATTAGACTACAATATAAGTAGTTTTGAACTCTGACATTATCCCATTCTAGTTGGTTCAAGTTATTGCCTTGGATATTACTATAGGCTGGAGACTCACTGGAGAGCAATATCGAAATTGACATTCATTTGTAGAAGAAATTCGACTGGAATGAATGTCCAAGATTATTCTATCTGACATATTTGATTTGTTGGTTTGTTGACTCGGATGAAAATAATTCGATTTTTTTTTCAAATTGAATATCGATCCACTAATTTCACAAGTTCACGGACAAGTCACTGGTTGAGACCCTGTTTTGAGTGTAATTACATGATCATGTGTCCTTTCAGGAGGCATACCCTTCAGATCATAGAATACCCCTTGATATCTTTTCAGCAGCTGCTGAATATCTTCATGAATCTCATAAACTGGTGAGTTAAATAGAGAACCGCATAAACTTAGTTGCTCCGTGTGGAAAACTGAAACAACATTAATTGCCCATGGAAATTTCTTGACCTCTTCCCTTCTGTATAATTTAATAGTGAATTTGTCATATCTATAATAATTTAACTGTATCAATCATCAAGCTTTGAAAAAATTACTTTTTCTTTACCCACAACACACTTGAATTGGCCTATAAATAGTCATCTATGAGAATATTATGCCTCACCTCATCATACAATAATAGCTACTTATCCAAAATGAAAGCTTTGCTTTTCATAGTATGCCTTCTCTTGGCTTCCACTCTCTCTTTTCCTACTTCCACCACTGCTCGAGAACTGGATGAGAAGGGTAAGAGCAATTTTATTTTCCCAATATCGATTCAAAGGTTTTTAAGTTTGCTGGTTTGCCTAAATGATTAGTATCAGAATCTTCATACTACTTTCTTAACATCTGCAATCCCCTCTTAAATTTTTAGATTATTGTCTCTTTATATAACACGAAAGCCCTAATTTGAATATAAACGGTTCATGTCAAAACTCATTGAGTAGCCTCAACGATAAATGGGAATATTGTTCTTTTTATATGTCTCGAGTTTAAATAGCTATGTTGCAAGTATTTACGTTGTCAATAACTACGAAAGAAAAACAGTTTTTTAATATTCTAATTTATGTTTGTTTATTGTGCAGACCCATATCCAGAAAATCCTGAAAATCCAGCAGTAAAATGCGGACGAGGTCAATCATATTTCAAATGCATTCTAAAGCCACCTCCTAAGTGTACCATTTACGAACGTGGTTGCAATGCTGATCCCACACCTTGAATTTTACTTTGAAGGAGAAAAAAGATTACGGATCTTGTATATCTAAAAAATCAATTACCAAAAGGAACGTAATAAAAAATATATATCTAAAGCTGTCACCTACTATTACGTTTTTTTATGATATGATTTGTATTATGAGTGTTGTGATTAAGTTTGAGTGATGTTACTTAAGTTTTTTGAGGAATAAAAGAATTAAAATTTCGATTTTGTTTGTTGGTGAGGTAACCGATTTACGATGTGTTGGGGTCTATTATGTGTGCGTTCAGGAACGATTATGTAGGTAGGAAATTTATGTGGGCAAAGTCACTATATAATGAGAGGTGTCGATAAAAAACCTTAAAAATTTATAAAATTTATTTTTCCTATAAAAATTATATAAAAACAAAAATGACATCACTATTAAAAAAGTCTGAGTCTTGAAATCTCTTAAAAAAGAAATTAACTTTATTGTTTTAAAAAATATATATATTATAAATTATTTAATAATAGAAGTATCAATGGTTAAAACATAAAATCACATCACAAAGATAATTATATGATAAAAACTTTATTTTAAAAGAAAAATATAATTTAAAATTTGAATAAATTGGTGACCAAAATAAATTTGAAAAGGGATTGTAGAATGTGTATATACTTACACATGTATAAGTATGTGCTTTGTTTCTAGATATGTACTATGATAGTGATAGATGTATATACTAACACCGATATAAATATGGTACATAGAAATAAATGCATACTTACATTGGTATAAGTATGTACTTCTCTCACTATCCTCGTACCTATAAATAAAATTATACTTAACTGGTGTATGTACATCTAAATTAATGAACTTAAATTAGAATAAGAAAACATCATTAATAAATAAGCGAGTCAATAAACAAATTTATAAACAAGCCAACAAATGAATTTATTCGTGAATATAAACAAACCAAATACACATTTGTTCGTGTTCGTTCGATGGAACCCTCTACACCCTTATATAACTTCCAATTGAAAGATCGGTGGTTAAAGTAAAAGAGGTAAATAATTAGATGGTCAATGGTATATTTTACCCTAATTAACATACCTACCCTCAAATCCTCCCCCTTTTTTTTGTTTGAAAATACACTTAAATCCCTATTGTTTGTTTCATATGGTCCATTGAATTATTCTTATTCGTTGAATCTGTTAATTTCTTTCCTTTTTTTGTTTTGTTTCGGTCCTGCTTTTATGTATTTTGATCTCATACGTTATACTAATTTCTACGTGTTGGGTTTAAGGGTTAGGAATTTCTTTATCTTTTTCTATATTTTAGAAAACATGTTTTAGGTTACGATTCGATTCGTTTTGTTTTATTGTATTTTTAGAGGAAAAAAACATGTTTTGGAAACATATTTTAGGTTATAATTTAATTTATTGTATTTTTAGAAAAGCATGTTTTAGGTTATTTTTTTATTTATTGTTTGCATGTTTTTAAATGTGTGTGTAGAATTGTTTTGATTTATTTCACTCATATTTTTTATCCTTAAATTAATTTTATATGAAACTCACTAAAAAATGATGAAATTCGTCTAAAGATTCAACATATTAATACTCATAAGATCATCCTATGAGATTAAGTTTATATTATCTTATTCATTTTCTCAAGATAATATTTTCCATCGTTCATATTTTTAAAAAATTACTCAAACCCCTCAAATCTTGTCCCAACCCTAAAAACAATGATGGATTTACCCATAACGCCCGTGATTTTCCCTATAAAAAGCGGCCCAAAATGGACATTATGCCTCACTCATCCCATTATACAGAATGAAAGCAATATTTTTCATACTATGCATTCTCTTGGCCTCCATTCTCGCTGTTCACCCTTCAACCGTGGCTCCACAACTTGCTGAGAAGGGTAACAACAATTATACTTTTATTATTTTTCCAATTTTACATCATTTAAACTTCCTTGATTATTGGCCAAAATAAAAACCAATTTGTAACCATTTATGTAATGTTACAAAAACTATTATACAAATTTTCTGTTTTTTTAATATTTAACCTTACGGTAACTTACACGAACCAATCAACCTCTGTATTTATTGAGCACGACGTATACAGGGATATTTGAACATTCATTATCAAATGATTGAGAGTCTTTCGATCAGATACTACCTTTTAATCATCTGTATTTATTGCCTTTAATTTCTGGTCTTATTGTTGTTAATTCTACAGAGGCAATTCGATCTCCAGCTCGATGTGCACTTGATCCTAATCGGAGCTGCACACCAAAGAGGCCTCCTAATTGCCCAATTTACCGTCCGAATTGCAATAATCCCATGCCATAAGATATTATGTTTTTGGAATAATATGTCTAATAAAGTTGCCAACTTTTGTATTTTGTTGCTAATGAAAATTTAATCTGAAGTGTGGCAAATGATTTGTGTTATGAATTGTCTGATTAATGTGATTGTGATGTAATTTTCTACAGTACTACTAGACCTTGCTACAACCACTGATGTAAATAGATTGTACTAAACTTATTCACTACATGCTGGTATATTGTGTCCAAAACAGGAAACATTATATTCGATCTTTTCATTCACAAGAGATATGGGTGATTGGATGTTTTACCTGTGGAAACTAGTAAATTATAGATTGTTTGGGTCTATTTCGAGCTTTGTACGATCTCTCGTGTCTCCTTTGAAGGGTAGGGCGTGACATTGACGGTTAATCCAAGTATATATGTATATGATATATATATATTTAAGTAAGTTTAAAATCATTAAAGCTATATACGTGTATGATAGTATGAATATGATTTGAATTCAAATGAATAAGAAAAATCTGCTTTCGATATAAGATCTGTTATAAATATATGATTTTGATTTAGAAAATTTATATGATCTTTGTTCATATGATTTGTATATGGCTCTACTATGATATAAAAATTGCTCTGATATGATATCAGATTAATGATTAAGTTATTAATGCAATAAACAAAACCTTGATAAACTCAGCATATCAGAAGGAGCTTGTGTGAAAATAACTTAAAGTATGCCAACTTAGTAAGAGTTTTAAAGTTTTTTTGTGATAAAAGTTGAAAATATGGATTCCTTACCATGATATGATTATGTTGTTTTTATGGTTGATCATACTGAATGACATACATATACAAGTTGTTGCTTCTTGTTCGATAGAAGGCTAAGATAGAGTTGATGAAAAACAAAGAAGAGAATATCGGAAACTAATTTCAGATTCATTGAAATTTCCATAAACTTTTTACACAGAATACTCTGCTTTTTTTTTTATATTGGAACTCAGCATAGTCAAATATATTTGACCTTCTAAGGATTGCTTTCTTACGATTCCTAAAATTAGAATCAGTTGGAGAAAGAGACTTCGATCTAATTTTCTTATTCATCCTTTTTTGGGCGAATTAATTTTGATAGCACGAACTAAAGTGGTTAAGGTACTCGTTATTCTCCGTACAGATCACGGGTTCGAGCACCGATAGGGGTATGAGCGTTCATAGTTAACTGGTTGAGAGTCTTTGAACATATATTGCCTTGTATTTACCTCAGATGTATAAAAAAGAATTAATTTCGATAAATTGTACTCACACCGTCTAACTATTTTTACACCGATAATTATGTTTGAATTTGTCAAATACAAATATTTTATATAAAAAAAACATTATCACACGAGATGTACTTATAAAGCTAGTAGAAGAATTAATATGGTTCTTTCAATCCTTCCGATAGGGAAAAGTGATACATTGTCAATGGTGAATTAGAAATATTCTTTTGGTAGACACGTTTATTAATAATATAAAAATTTTATATAGGTAAATTTAAATAAATTTTTTTAGATGAATACAATTGATAAAATAATTAATTAATTAAAAAAATTGAATTTTAAGATAAATGTGTGCCTATCCAATGTAAATCATACCTCCGCCATTGTATATTATATTTAGCTTCACCGTGAAAGATGGATCGAGGGGGTGGTGAGGGAATTTGTCTCCTAAAAATTTAAAATTGTCATATATTTTAAATTTTTTTCTATAAATTTTCTATTAAAAATCTGTTTTTATCTCTAAAATTTTATAAATTTATCTCCACTCAAAATTTTAAAGTTCATTCCTCAATATAAAATTTTGGTCCCTATTCACAGCTAATCATTAAAAAAGCACCTCCAAATGCATGAAATTTAGTGAAAGTTTAGACACCGTTGTAAGTATTCAAACGATTAAACAAATGAAAAGAAAGACATGCAACACAAGGAAAATAGCAGTTTGAGTTCTATAAACAGTCCAAAAAACCACGAATTTTTGCATCATTTCAATCATAATTTGTCAAACACCTTATAGCATACGATGGGATTCTTAAGAAACAGTTGTTTATCTGTCATTTTGCCCATCTTTGTTTCAGCTGTGATTCAAGCAAAAGCGGAATCGGTGTTTTGCAGCAACCCCAGAAGCCGATGCTATGGAAGGTTAATAGAATGCCCTTACGAGTGTCCCAACAGTGGCTCTGCCAACAGCAAATCTCAAACTTGCCATGTTGACTGTGATTCACCCCGCTGCAAGTCCTCCTGCAAACGTAAGTTTCGCCTGCTTCTGCGTCTGAGTTTTTATGTTTTGTTTGTTAAATTACCCGTCTTTCATATTTGTGTTTTATGCATATTTATGCATGAATAACAAGTGCATATGTATGGATGTTATCCAGCAAATCCCTTGAATTTCAGTCAAAGACATGTAAAACACTTTCTTAGTAAAAAGTAAAGGGACACATATTTTGAACTCATTAAACAAATTCAATGGTTGTTTAATGGTTGAAGGGAGTGTTATTCGCCCTAGAGGTCTTAATAGTCATTTTGCTTATCTTTATTTCAGATGTGAATCAACCAAAAGCAGAGCCGGTGTATTGCACCAATCCCAAAAGCAGATGCTACGGAAGATTAATAGAATGCCCCAAGGAATGTCCTAGCACTACATATGCAAATAGTCAAGCTAAAGTTTGCTACGTTAACTGTGATTCACCCGTCTGCAAGTCCTCCTGCAGATGTAAGTTTCCATACATATGTAGAGCTAGAAACTATGAATGTTAAACTTAATAGTTAAATTGAAATCAACTAATTATTGTTCTTCTTCTTATTATTGCTGATTTTAGATCGTAAACCAGACTGCAACGGACCTGGATCAGCGTGCTATGATCCTCGTTTCGTAGGTGGTGATGGCATTGTGTTTTACTTCCATGGAAAGAGCAATGAGCATTTCAGCTTGGTCTCTGACGCCAGTCTCCAAATCAATGGCCGCTTCATCGGCCATCGGCCCGCCGGTCGAACTAGGGAATTCACTTGGATTCAAGCACTCGGAATCTTATTCAACTCCCACTCCTTCTCTCTTGAGGCCATTAAATCCGCAACATGGAATAATGAAGTGGACCATCTAAAGTTCAGCTATAATGGGGAGGATTTAGTTGTCTCTGATGGAGCTCTATCCAGCTGGTACTCCCTGGACAAAGAAGTGAAAGTGGAGAGAGTTGCAGATAAGAATAGTGTGATTGTAACATTGAAAGATAGTGCAGAGATTATGGTGAATGTGGTTCCAGCGACCAAAGAAGATGATAGAGTCCACAACTACAAAGTACCATCTGATGATTGCTTTGCTCACTTGGAAGTTCAGTTTAGGTTCTTTGCCCTTTCACCGAAAGTTGATGGTGTGCTCGGCAGGACTTACCGAACGGATTTCGAGAACCCGGTGAAGCCTGGTGTGGCGATGCCTGTTTTTGGTGGTGTAGATAAGTATAGGACGTCTGAACTTCTTTCTGCAGATTGCTCAACTTGTTTATTCTCTCCACAAAATGGTTCAAATGAGAACACATCTGTGACTGAATATCTCACACTTGACTGCACCCGTGGGGGATCATCTGGATACGGAATTGTTTGCAAGAAATGAAGTAATGGGTTCATTACTTAAATAATGGAGGCTTAAAGCTATATAGTTTAAGTCAGTAATTTAATATTTTCGTCTTAAAATGGCGCTTTCATTCCTGTATTCTGCTACTGTATTCTCTTTTGTAAGTTCTATGTTTATGAAGAAAAGAACTAGTTATATTTTATATATTATTAAAATATGGCGGCTTGCGACGCTTTGCAAATTTAAATTTAATTATTAACTAAAACTAATATCTTGATCCATTCTAGTATCTTGTTGAAATAGGAAAAGTACATAGGGGTTGGTGTCTCTCAACATATGTCGGAGACCTCGAACTACCCGAGGATCCCTCAGGCCTCAAACAGTGTAGTGTATCAACTTCATTGGGCTCGGCTGGCCTGCCAATTCAAAGGGAAAGTCTTCCCTTTTCACCAGAAAAGCCTAAAGAAGAAGCAATAGTCCTTTGCCGCTAGAGCCCATCAGCTTTCATAATTGGCCAATCTTCATTATTCAGCCTCATATCGCTATCAAAAATCGACTTCACATTCGGGAGCCAACATCAATTAAGCATAGATTAGATTCTGAGATTATCTCCCCACGTAATCCCATACCAAACAGGAGAGCGGAAAAACCTTCGAGAAGAGAAGCGAGGATAAAAGTGAAAGAATGAGATAATACTCTACTACCTTTTGTATGCTTTCCGGAACATATTGATAATTGGTAAATGCATGAATGAAAATAATTGGTTCGTAAGGTGTATTTAATTATCATTGCACTTAAACTAAATATGAAATAAACATAAATAAATTTAATCAATTGTTAATATGCAAAAGTCTTTTGGAGTCAACTAGATAAATTTGAAATAGTCTGACAATATAGCTTATAGTAATGTCATTTTCTTAAAACTTTAGGTCAATTTTTTTAGTAAATTTTTCCACACAAATGACAAAATATTAAATTTCCATGTCGTTGCCTTCTTAGGACTATTCTACACAATACAACATGACAAATCGTTGATGATTATATCATCTTGGGAAAGAAAGGGTTTGGAAAGGCTTAGTGGAGTCAAGAAAATCCACAAAATATATATTAAAATTTTATATAAAAAATATCATTGCCGAGGAAATTTCACGAGTTCGTCCAATTACTCAAATTTTCTCCTTTTTCTAAACTTTTAATTCTATAATATAAAAAATTATAAAAATATCTAGATATTCTTATAAGATAATATAGTTGGAATGTGATTTCTCCATGACTTGATAAATTATAAATATTTCACGAATAAATTCGTGTGATTATAGTTTGGATTATAATTTTAAGTTTTAAGGGTACTTAAAAATTATATTGAATATAAACTATTAAATACATATAAAAAAGTTATTAAAAACTATAAAAATATTGATAATTATATTGCAGAGTTATAAATCTTTTAACAAGAAAAGTTATTATACACCTCTAAACAAAAAAATGCCTAAATCACTATAAACATTTATTTATTATTGCTTTTGTTATTATTATTTTGATTAAATTATATCTTATTAAAGTATGTCATTGTCTCGGACAATTTCCACAAAACATGCCGAATAGTTCATAATAATCTTATCATCGTGGGAAAGAAAGGGTTTGAAAAGGCTTATTGAGGTCAAGAAAATGAAAGAAAAAAATATGTATGGAACGATCTCAGTAGTTGAAAATTTTATTGTTATTAGATACGGATGCACTTGATCAAGTGCATCATACCTATTATTTTGATTAAGTTCTTAAATATAATTTAATATGTTAAAGATAAGAAAAAAAGGATAAAATTTGCATATCTATTTTATTGAAAAGAGAGTATTATTTTTTTTATCATCCACCGCTGATTGTTATCTTTTGAGAAACTAAGTTCAAATACCACGTATGCAGAGGTATGAACATTTATTGTCAAAGAGTTGATAGTCTTTAAAAAAATACTACCTTATATCCAACCAAATTTATATGTAAAAAAATTATATAAAAAATAGCAATGCCGTGGAAATTTCATGAGTTCGTCCCATTAGTCAAATTTCTCTCTTTATTAATTACAAATTGCATTTTTCAATTAACAATCTTCGGCCTATAAATAGTAGTGTGAGATGGAGATTATGCATCACTCATCCTTCAATTAATAATCCAAAATGAAAGGATTGTTTTTTATAATATGCATTCTCTTGGCTTCCATTCTCGCTTTCCCCGCTTCCACCATGGCTCGCCAACTGGCTGACAAGGGTAACAACAACTATCATTTTATTATTTTCTTTATTTTTTACATAATTTATATTCCAAGGATTGAGTTGAAGGATTTTTTAAATATTTATAATCGAATAATTCAATCTCGTTTTAATTCATTTATTAATGTATTTATAGAAATAATGTTTTTTTAGTAATTATATTAAGGTTTATTGTGCAGCGGCAATTCCATCTCCAACTGCATGTTCACGTGATCCTACTCGGAGCTGCACTCCAGTGAGACCTCCTAACTGCCCTATTTACATTCGAAATTGCCATGGAGGAACCCCTTAGAATACCATTATGCTTTTGGAATATCACGTCTAATAAAGTTGCTAGTTCTTCTGTTTTGTTGGTAACCAAATTTTAATTTTAAGTTTGAAGTATAATTTGTGTTACGGTTTGTGTCCATTGATGTGATTGTCATGTATTTTGCTTCTGATTTAGAAATGAAAATAAAGGAAAGCTTGCATCTTTTTCATAAAGTCATCTTTATATTTTGCCAATGCTCCATATAATAATTTTGGAGGGAATATAAGAAGATATAGTTCTTTTCATCTACATGATATAATTAACATGATAATAATAAAAATTATGATACGATATGAAAATAACATTAATGTAACATGATATTAATATGATATAACAGTGAAGAATGTGTGTGTCAATCAAACTGAATTAAATGAAGAGTCTTGTTTTGATATGGGGGAAGAAGGAAATGAAGAAAAGAGAATGAAGTGTCAACCAAAGATGTTGATGCATTTTTGTTTAGATGACATGTCAACTTTTCTATTTGCTTATGTATCTTTTCACAAACTAGTTCAATTTTACTCAAACAAGTTACTTTGTTGATTCCTATTAATGAATTATGTGTGCCAACAAAAAAAACTAAACTAAAATTAAAATATATACCTAATTAATATAAGGAATACATATTTAAATTGGCACAAAAATATTAAGTTCAAATAAAATCTTATTGCATCAATAGAATTAGATAACGTTAGTAAAATTTAAAGTAAACGATAGATTTTATATCAGTTCGTTTTATATATTTCATGATAACGGGGGAGTGAATGATTGAATACAGGGGTTGATTTGTTTTTATATATTTCATGATAACGAGGGAGTGAATGATTGAATACGGGAGATAGAAAATAAAAGATTTTTCTATTAATAATTTTATTCAAAATGTTTGGAACCACATATTGAAGAGATTTTTTTTTTTGAGAGAAAACAAGAATAATTGACAAATTTATCAATAAGAAATAATAAACGCCTAATCAAATACGTTTGTATGTTTCTGGTTCATAGATATTGGCCTTGGCTTTAAATTTCATTTGGCCAGCAACAATCTTTACACATTGTTTATGCAAACTTTTGATGCAAAGGACTCAACCTGAATCATAAGTAATCCTTCGGAAGTTTACAATCATCATCTGCTTTCCTCATCCTTGAGTGTGATCTCCTGCCGCTTGAACCCCTTTGGTTTCTTCAACCATCATTGAATTCGACAGACTAATCATCATCATCATCATATTTTGTACGCTCATCTATGGAAATAACAACATTATTGGCATCCTAGAAACCCTTTTGTCAGCCTCTGAATACGTGGCGCTGCAGCTTCGTGAACAACTACTGTATCAAATATAAATTCCAGCACATCCTCAACGAGCAAAGCATAAGTGCTCACATGATTTACCTTAAAAGAGGGGGAAACGGTTGATGAACGGGAGTTCCATTTTTTTGGTGATTCGGTAGTTGTTTTCAAGATCCGATCAGTGAGGAAGTTCTTCTTGACAGAGAGAATAATATAGTTTTGAATCGGCATCATTGGAATGTGAAAGACGGTGTCTGATGAATTTTAACCCATGGAAATCAAAACGTTTTCCTTAGATCTAGGACAAACGAAGATGATTTTGGGATATCGAACCCCATATTCATGTTTGGGAAGATGATTCAAGCTTACGAGTAAAGTTGGTATTGAACGGTGACGAAGATGGCATTTGACGTGGTGGTCACCGGAATTTGATTGTCGGTCGATGAAGTTTTCTCGTTGATTTTGCAGAGCATTGTTGGAGAGGGCCTAAAGATGAAATGAAATGGAATTGGCATGTGGGAGATGAAGTTGGTTACACTACGTAGTTTTGGGGGTTTCTAGAGGGGAGGCGGGCAAATCTCAACTTTAGTCCTCCATTTAAGGTAAGAATGTGATCTTATCCCCACATTTCAATATATTTTTATATGTATAGCTCAATAGTTTAGAGTAATTCTATTTAGTCCAAAATTGATAAATTAGGTATTCATTCAATACTAAGTTCTTAATTTTTTTTTAGCGAATAAGACCCTCATTTATTAATTAGTTCTAACAAGTTATCTTTATGGCGAGGAAAAAAATTAATTGGATTCAAGTTCGATGGCGATCAGATAGGGTTTAAACAATTGATTAATGTAGCTCGAAAATGCGAGATAATAATTTACTACCTCTTTATGCTTTTTGGAACATGTTGATATTGGTAAATGCATGAATAAGATAATGTTAGTCACTTTTGTGGAGTTGAATAATTTATACGCTCGATATGAATGTGGTATAAATTTTGTAACTGAATACGGATCGAATGACTAATATAAGAGATTGAGGAATTGTTAGAATTAAATTACAAGTTTGTGATTAGTGATAAAGAAATCAGCCCTGAATTTGTAACTTGTATTTTATATCATCAAAGGTTAAATGTTAAAGGTACTTGAATGGGAAATTATGAGAATACTCCGGTAGGGTAAAATTTTGAAAATACCCTTATGTTGTAAGATGACAAGAATTGTCCCTGGAAGTTGGTTAATAACTCTGAAAAGACATATTGATCCGGTAAAAATTATTGATGTGCATAAGAAATGCTAGTTTTGCTTAGGAAATGCGGATAACCGGTTTTTAACCCCAAAAGGGTTTTGGGCAAGAAGAAGCATGTTAAGGAATCATTTCAAGATCAAAGAATGTTCGGAAAAGCAATTAATCATAGGATCTCTAAATTATATTATTTTTGTTAAGAGTTAATACCGAAGTTATTTTGTTAAGAAATTACAAAAATATCCTGAAAGGCAAAATAGTCCGAGTTGACCCTGAATGAGAAAGTACTTTGAAGATTTGTACTTAACTCGATTAAGTACAAATTTGATTGTTAAGATCCTGAATTAGTGCAGAAAATTCTTGATATTATGTTGGTAAAAATCTGAAAAGGCACTTGACCCGAAAATATCCGAGTTACGAGTAAATACCTGAAGAATAAATTATCGAGGGTGCTCCTTTGTCAGAATTGTTTGAAAGGACTGAAATAGATGATAAGTTCGAATTAAGTGATAAGATCGGACGAAATGAAAAGATTGAAATATCATGGATCTATAAAATGACCAAAATACCCCTATAATGAAAATGATTATAGAATATCATCAAGCACAAGAATGAATGGATATCCTCAAGCTCTTAAATGAATGGAAAAACATTGAGCACCAAAAATGCCCTTATGGTCTAGACTATATAAATGTATTGGGTTAATTAAGGAATTCAAATAAACATAGGGTTGTATTACCCTTAAAAGAAATGGAACTCAATTTAAGTGAGTAGATCAACCCTAATGTTATGTCAGTACCTGAATGATATTGATATCACTTGAATGCGTGTTCGTCTTCTCAAGTTTGGATCGATGATAATTCTGAAAGTACTTGGCTCAGCTCAACTCTAGAGCGTCTTTGGTATTAAGAAGTGGATATTCGTGAGACAAATCAACCACGAATATATGAATGACTTTATTATATGATTAAATTGAACTGAAAGGAAATACAATATGTATCTGAAATTCAGAAATGTCTTAATTACTCTAGAAAACTCTGTAGTAACCATGATAACATTAGTTGCTAAATGAACCAAGCAACCTTAATGACGGAGAATTTAGTAAGTAATTGGATGAGTCTGGAAATACAATAAACTTGTATGATGTACGGTCCCTATGGTTATGAACTAAGAATCAAATATGTCATCAATTCTTGATATTGTTGTAATGTGGAAAGAAAATAGAGATTATAAGGATGCTTGTTCGATTCCTTAAGGTATATTTAGCGATGATTCTGAAGATGACTTATGGACAAGAATTGTTGGTATTATAAAGTGAATACCAGGAAGGGCAATGAATTGATCAGTTGACAGGCATCAGTTCTGAGAGTTGTTTAACTCAAATTGTTCGATAATCCTATCGATTGTCATGGATGGTAATTGCCCTGAATATTCGTTTCTTCTTTTTCGACTCAAATCACTCCGGTTATTCCTGATACACCTGAATCATAGTGGGAGTGTAAAGTATCGTTTTAAATGTCTGATTTGAACGACTAGTAATTGACTCCTTTTCAATAAGACTTCATTCCTGGGATCTGATCAAAAAGACATCAGTTTCATGTTATCTATACTGATAACTGCAAAATGCCTTTGATAAGTATTGGGATTTCTCTAGTGTGTTCCTTATTTTTTTAATAAATTGTTTTGTTGTTTTAACATAAGGTACACTGAAATCTATGGTTATTGTTTTATGGATGCACCGACTTAATGGTGATGTCTTATGGGTTTGTATCACGGTATAAATTGTATCTTAGAGATACAGATTTTGTATAGTACAGCTCTGATCAAGCTGGAAAATTTTTATGGACCTAATGTAACTCTTAGGTAGGCTCTGCGGCCCTGAGATCATTCTCGGGTAGGCTCTGTGGCCCTAAGATGTGTTCTTAGATAGGCCCCGTGGCCCTGAACTTTCTTGGGTAGGCTCTCAGGCCCTAAGATGTTCCCTTAGGTTAACTCTTTATACGATGGTTTTAAAACACGAGTTTAAAAAGCTCCACTACAGTATGGTTTATGGGATTTACTGAAATATCATTTGATTAGTGTACCTATTATGATTTTATCGTACTGTTAGAACACACTAGACATCCTATTTAACCTCCTGAAAATTTGATACTATGAATGCTTCCTATGAACTGAGATATTCATGGCTTCTATTCGTTGAACTACCAGTGGAACTCCAGATTATTCCGAAAATCGATATACGTTAGATTAAATAAGAAATGATATGGCTTTCCATTTATCGGCATATCTTGCAGCAACATCTGGTAGTTCTGCATTACTGAGCTTTTCGAAGCTCACTCTATTACTCACCATTGCAGGTTAAAAGAATCGTACCAGGGTATGGTACATGTGATTAGGGGGCATCTAGATTGTATTTTGTTTTATATACGAGTCTGAAAATCTATTTTACTTCTGGATACTGATAAATGATTTTATAAGTTGCATGTTTTAATTAAAGTTTTAAATTTTCCGCTATTTTTATAGTGGGTCGCTCCGGTGGCCCTAATGTGACACTCCAGATCAGATCGGGCTATTCGCATCGGTCTGAGGGGTTACAGAATTTTTAATATAGAATTCAAAAAGTAGCTTAGGAAATAATTTAATTCAATTAGCATATGAATTATAATTAATATCAAATTTGATTATAAATGTCATCTAAAAATAGCGAAAATAAAATAATATGAAATTATGGGATTTCTTGCTCTAAGGGTTTGTCCCAAATGATTAATGAAGGCCTGAAATTTGTTAAGTAATTGAAGCAATGTTGAAATTTGGTCCATTTTTCTTCAAAAATTGAAGCATATGTGTCCTTACACTGTCACTAGAAAAAGTTTAATACAAATATAAGTGTCTAAAGTATACCCTAAATTAATTTTAGATGCCTAAAGAATTTTTTATTAATTATAGGTTTAACAACATCTTACTAATTATATTAACTAATGAGTTAATTAATTAATTAGAGTTAATTAATTGGTTAGTCTCAGTTGTATATATAAACCATGCAAATGTATTATACAGAAGAAAAAAAAAAGAATAGAGAGTCATTCATTATTTCCTCTCGTCTTATTCTTCTATTTTTGTTCTTTGCAAGATATTCTTGTTATATTGGTATCAGAGGGAAATAACGTCCCTTCCAACTTCGTCATGCCTGATTCTTTGAATGATCGTTTTGCTAATGGAGGTACTTCATACTATCTACATCAGTCGGATAACCTTGAAATTGTTTATACTCGGCCTCTTTCCAATGGTAATTTTCATAGTTGGAAAAGATCGATGATGCTTGCTTAATCAGCCTAAAACAAGTTAGGATTTGTTGATGGTTCGATCACTGTTCCTGATCCTTCTTTCACATAGCAGTTTAATGCCTGGACGAGAGCTAACAACCTTGTATATTCTTGGATCTTGAATTTTGTATCCAAGGATATAGCTGCAGGTCTTTTGTATCATTCCATTGCTGCTGACATTTGGAAAGATCTGGTGATCGTTTTCAGCAATCGAATGGACCAAGGTTATTTCAGCTAAAGAAGAAATTAAGTGACTTGGTGCAGGGCCAAATGAATGTTAGCGCATATTATACTCCGCTCAAGATTGTTTGGGATGAGCTTTTCTCCACCAAGAAGGTCTGTTCTTGTATGGGTTATACTTGTGAAGGAGTTAAAAGAATGTTAGGAACATCAGCAACAGCAAGTTATGCATTTTTTTATGGGATTAAATGAGTCTTATTCTCACATAAAGTGACATTTTCTTTTGATGGATCCCTTTCCTTCGATTGTCAAAGTGTTTTCTTTTCTCATTCAAGAAGAAAACCAGCATAGTGTCAAGATTGTTAATCCCGATACTGAAGCCACCTTTGCCGTTAGAGCAAATCATGGCAATCGTAAGAATCGACCTCAATGTAGCCATTATAATATTCTTGGCCAAACAAGGGATAAATTTTACAAGTTGCATGGATATCCTTCAGGTTATGTGCCAAAGAATTCGTCTTCGAACTCCAAGAATTCTCAAACGGCTCACACGAATTCAATAGCCACTTCGAGTGATGTTGCACAACAAGGATCTTCACTTGCTAATGAATGCTTGAAAACTCAGCAGTGTCATCAATTGATTGCAAGGCTTACAGCTCAATTACAAGCTGCATCAACTTCAGAAAATCCTTCGACTTCTGTTAATGCAGCCATGCAAGGTGAGATTTCGTCTCAAATTAATAATTTTTCCCTTCAATTACCAAAATGCTGGAATGTTGATTCTCGTGCATCCAGACATGTTTGTTTCTCAAAGGCCATGTTCGAGACTTTGTATCCTATCACTGGTAGCAGTGTTGTTTTGTCAGACAAATATGTAATCTCCGTTGGATTTGCTGGGACCGTTAGATTTTCCTCCAAGCTTGTTCTCAAAGATGTGTTATGTCCCTGAATTCAGGTTTAATCTACTATCAGATGGGTGTTTGATAAATGATACTGATCTCATTGTGTTGTTTTGCAAATCAAAATGCTTGATTCAGAACTTATATCGAGTGATTGTGAAGGTTGAACTGCTTCAAGGTCTCTATCTACTGCAAATGCCTTCTGCTGAAAATATAGATAGAAATGATGTTCCTTGTAAAGGTTCTAGTAGTCCAGTTTTTAATTCTTGGCACGCCAAACTTGGTTATCTAGTAATCGTGTATTAGTAAAATTTATATTAAAAATTTAAAGGACGAAAAATTAGAAAATTTTAAGAATTTAAAATTAGATTAATAATAAATATATATATATATATAATACTTAAAATATATGGTATCATATTATTTTAAGGAATCAAAGGAAAAAAATGATATTGGGACTGAAAATATTCAAGTAAAAGACTAGCTATGATATATAGTAATAGTGAGATTAACTTCATATCTGATCTATTTTGGAGATTAGCATGAGTTAATTAGTTATAGTTGCATACATACGGCCTTAAAAGTCACGAAAAACCGACAGAGAAGACAGCTCCGGCTTCTTTCATCTGTAAGATTTAAGAACAGCTCCACAAAAAGTGCAAATTATAGCTTTCCGAGATTTCCAATAAAACGGGACATAACAAAACCGGTTGATCGTCATCATATCTCCGACGCTTGCTCCACCGCCGCACCGCGAGCATAACCCAGCTGCCGGCTTAATACTTTTCAGCTTCCGCCTTTGGTCCACCAAGAAACAAAAGCAGACCATATTCAAAACATGAAACGACTAAAAAACAATGTTCAGGCCCCAGAAAGCTAAATGTTTATTTCAACTCTTTGTTGTAATTAATTTTGAGGGGGGATGCATGGGATATTTATAGAGCAGATATGGCGTTAAAGGTCGGGCAATATCTGAGGGTAAAAAGAAGAAGTGGTTCGATGTTTAATTCATGTTATTTTTCCAGAAACCTGTCCAGCTATGATGGCAATAATGTGTGGATGGTTTACACTTGGACATGGCAGTTGGGGTTTATAATTATGCTGCAGGGAGGTTGCTGTACATCAGTAAAAACCTGAGATAAAAATATCTCCCAGGTTTTAATGAGGGATTTTGATGTAGAACAGTAAAAACTAGACGGTGAAAAAATCTTCCAACTTTAAATGAAGTTTTGCCCAGGATAAAAAGTCCCGAATAAGGGTTTTTTTTATTACAAAATATAAAAAATAAATAAATGGTAACTACTTAAAATAAGGGATTTATCCTTTATGATGGCAACCACCACCATTTAATTGAACTGCAAATGTTAAAAGCAAACATATTAAAATATTTCTGCTATTGATATGTACTACATCATGTGAAATAAAAGTGCAAGCACACTATTGTAAGGTTGCAGTCGGGAGTGAGAAATTTCCTCTCTTTTTTCCTAACATGAGGGTAGCTTTTTCTTTAGATGGTAATACTCTAAGTTTGAACTGAAATAAATAATGAATTTGAAAGTGTTATATTGGGTCATCAATGGGATGCACACAATTTTTAAATTATTTTTAATATTTAAAAAGTTTAATTAATGAAATAAATGACTGAATTATACCTATTAGCTTCTTAAAGTTAAAAAATGGACCATTCAAAACTTTGATCGTCACTAGCCGCTTGATCTTTGATTTTTTATTTTTAAGCTCATAAAATGGATCAATTGTAAGCTCTCGGCCTACAAGACTTAGTCTTATAAGGTATATTGGACCAATGGAGGTCAAAAGAGTTAAAAAGAGGTCACATTGTATCAATTGGACCAGCCTGAAAGAGAAATAATTTATCATTTCTCCCGAAAAAAATTAGTTGACCCTATTCCCATATGTAATGGGGTAAGGGGGAGGTTGGGTAGTAGGTTGGTCCCCAACGCCAGGTTGAGAGTAGCTTCCGCGGAAGACCTCCATTATAAATTACCCTCAATGGAACTCAATCCCACTACCACAAGATTAAGAGCCTTGCGCTCTACCAATCGAGTTAGATTAACCTTCCGAAAGATTGATCTTTTTACGAAGGGATTTATCATTTAGTAAAAGGCTTGATTTTTTTGAGTTGTGCCAAAGTTGGGACCCCACACTAAAAAAGTAGATTTTTTTAAAGAGATATATCCTTTTGTTAAGGAAAGGTTTAGAAATATTTTTAAGGTTATATATATATTAATAATATAATTTTTTCGGATAAAATAGATATAAATAAAATTTTAGAGTAAACACCCTCAATAAAATAAATTATTAATATAAAAAATTTAAATTTAAAGATAAACACGTGCCTACCCTGAACAAAGGCTACATCTTAGACTGGTTTTGGCCTTGAGTCTGTAATGAGTTTGTCAAGTGCCATCGTTTGCACTTAGACCCCCTCCATACACTCTACGTGACTCTAAACACTTTCGAAACATCATATAATCATATTTAGCATGTATAAGCACGCTTAAAACTTATTAAAAATCATGCATCTATGATATTCAAATTTGATTCGATTTAAGTTTAGATTAAAGAATCAATGGAATGATTATCCAAGTTTTATGTATCAAGACATAATTATATTTGTACATTTCAATAAAGATAAAATAGTTTTATTATTATGTCATATTTGAGTCAATTGACAAAAAAACACAATCAAATTGAAAGAAAAAAACCAATACAATAAATATTTAATTATACAAAATGTCAAATGCATTCCATCTATGTAAGATATATTTAAAAATGTAAATCAAGTAATGGGTGTAGGCTACTAGATTCAACATTATCATTTATTATGAAAAACTATTATTTTCCAATGATCATAAAGAAGCTGCAACTTGGAAAATTACCAAACAGAAAAAAGAAAAAGACATTAGGTATTTCTCCACGTCGAAATTTTATATGATTAACATGTTAAAAATACCATTTTAATGTTACGTTTGATTTCTTCAATTGATTATCTTTTCGTTAGGTATAGTCCACGGTATTAGTGAAACACAACACATGGGTTTCCAAATTTTAATTAAGGCTTTTGATATACATAATATAAATTTAATCCATTTGAATAACAAACATTACGGCTATGTTTTATTATAAAAAATTAAAATAAAATTTTACTAGTAGCTTAATTTATATATATTTTTAAGGGTAAAGTATAAAATGGTTCTCAACTATAGGGTAATGATTTGTTGAGTTTTTTGACTATTAAAAGTTACAAAATCATCCTCCAACTAGAAGGTGATGTTTTGTTGAATCTAGCAATTATTAAAAGTTACAAAATGGTCACTTGACTATTCATATATTCCAAACTCGTCATTTTTCGTTAAAAAATTGACAATCGTCTGAGCTAGAGGTTAACATGTTGATTGAGATATGAAAGAAATCGTATTTTAATAATATATATTGACATCGTTGTTGCTTTCAAACATTGGCTTAACGACATAATGTTGCAAAAACTGACTCGATGCCATAATATAAATGGAGAGTCGATCCATAAAATTTAAAATTTATTTTATTAATAGCTTACGTTCACCTCTTTTGATTTAGGTAGATAATCGTGATTAATTAGAGAACGATTGTTTGTTGATTTTTCTACGTGAAAGAGAGTTGGTTATAAGGAAAAAGAGAGAAATCATATGTAGATTGTTAAAGGTTTAGTCCCATTTATCAGTCTTGATAGAGGGTATTACTAGTGACCATAGTTCTAGTAGATTTTGTTAAAGGTTCATGGACTAAATAGGTCTAGTAGTTAGATCTTAGATTTTGTTATAGTGTATCACGTGGATTTATTAGATGTCTTAATTATGTGTTGTAATTGACTCGGGAACTTGTGCTGGAAAGATGCGGGCATCTTAGAGACTCTGGTGAACAGAGACTTTGTCCGAATATCTTGATTAACGAAAACTGATAATATCCTTTAAAGGTATAATAAATTTAAATTTAAAAATTATTTAAAATTAAAATGACTTAAAATATTTAAATTTTAAACGAGGTAAAATTTAAATGATTTAATTTTAAAAAATAAGCTTAAAATAAATGATTTCATTCAATTTTAGGATAATTCAAATTCAAATGATTTAATTTTTTTTAAAAATTAAATTTAAATTAATTCATATAATTGATCCGAGTAACTACAATTTTATATCTATAAAAGTGAAAAACAAGTTTAGATTTTTGTTGGAGTGTTGGAACACATAATTATGACAAATATAAATAGAAAATGACAAGCAAACGCATAGTCATCTACAAGTCAGACTAATCTCTTTTTCAGGTATGTATTTTATCCATCGTGATCAAGCTTGTATAGAACCAGAAGGAAATGACTTTTAATAAAAATATCGTATCAGCTAATCGCCTATTTTAAAATTTTGAACCTCATTTTAAACATCAGAAATATGATATTATTAAATATTTAATAAGAAATTTTTACCACTCTTATAATAATATTTAATTTAATAAAATTAATTTTTACTTAAACTATTAATTAATTAAATAAATATAGAAATATTGAATTAAAAGAATTAGGGATAGACATTTCATCTGGACGCGACGGGTTTGAGTCGACCTAATCGAGTTGGAACTAGGGATTGAATTATTAGAAATATGATTAATTTTTACTAAACGATATACATATATATTTATTTAAATTTTAATATATTTAAAACATAAAAAAATCAATATATAAATATACAATAAAAATTATCAAACAACAATTTCATGCATTGTATATATCTTTAACTTCATAAAGATTCCACATCATAATTATATTACTTTGGGATTCCGAATCGTCACTTGTGGTTCATTTAAACGAAATCCGAATATATTATTTATTTTCTATAATATCCCTACAAGTTTTTTATTTCACAAATAAATTTAAAATTTACTGTACGTCTTATTTATTTATTTATATATTTATAAAGTATTAACTAAACTTAATTAAATACATATATCTATATTTATGTTACATCTTATAATTATTACGTATGGTGATGAAATAATTCAATAACATAATTATATATCCCAATCATTATCGATTATTTATTCCTAAGCAATTCCAGGTACCTTCCATATTTTCACAACCTACCTAAATCAAATCAACATTTGCTAATTTCTTTTATTGGAAATTACCTAATTCGATAAATGTACTTTGTTGATCATTTTTTTAATTGTAAATAATCTTTTAATCTAGCTTTAATCTTTCAATCATTATTCATTTAATTTTCTAAAAATTAAATTTTATTAAATTTATAATTTTAGAAAAATCTAACATATTTAGTATCTGAATTAATATTCAATTAACACGGTTAGATTGATAACCCTTTAATTGGAAGATATGGAAATATTTTTTTAAGGAAGTTATAGAAATATTATAATTTAAAAATAAAAATCCTAAGAAAATCTAAAAATCAAAATCGATGACGCCTTCAACTTTACAAGAGGGACTTGCTTGTCTTTCGGTGTGCAGCCGTGTGACAAAAGTGACCATCAAACAAGCTTTTCCAATAACATATTTAATTAAAAACATAGGGGTAATATAGACTGAAATAATCAATAAATACACCGTGAAGAAAAAAGATTTGAATCTCAAGATATGGTTGAACGGTTAAGATCATCCCTTTTGGTCCATGATTTCCGGTGCAATGGGGCAACCTCATCATTGTCTTTTGCTATGAAATATTTTTTTTTATTAAAATTGAATTTATGACATCAAAATTATTCCAAGTGTAAAGTCCAAGTATTTGATACATTAAAGGTTTGGGGTCATCAATGGGATAAATGGATTAAAATTGATTTACACTTCTCATGAATTAATAAAAAAATAAGCATTCAAATTATATTATTTTTCTTAAACCAATATTTAAACTATTTTTTAGTTAATTTAAATATTTAATATTATAAATATTATTACTTCAGGTGACTGATTCATAATAGATGTTAAATTTTACTGTTAAATGACATGTGTCACGTTTAAATAATTTTAATTATTAAATATTAACAATTTTTTCTAAAAATATTAGTATCATGAGGCATAATACAATCATGTCACTTGACATTTACATATATATTTTAAAGAACATTTCTAACAAGTTTTAAAATTCTAAAAGGTTATTAGAAAATAATAAAATTTTGAAAAAAATTATATGAAAATATCCTGACATAACATATGACATCAAATAAATAAATAAAAATATCAAAGTTTATAGTGAATGTTAGTCAAAGGATTGAAATGATAATTTATTATCAAAACGAATTAATTGGATAAAAACCACGAATTTAATTGATATTTTTTTTTCAAAATTTAAGATTTTCATAACACCATTAAACCGAAAAGATTAACAAGAAATTTATTTTAGTTTCGGGACTGACCCCTAGTATATGAGGCTTAGACAATTGTATTTGACTTTGGATAACCCTAAAACAATTCCAAGTTGGAATTTTTTTCAAACTCTAAAAAGAAAAGGTCAAATATTTAGGTTTATCTAGTCTTCGATTGCCGTCTTATTTATTAAATTCTCATTTTACTTTAAAAGATTATACATACATACCAGGATCCCACTCACCATTCACTCCCGCTTTCCTACTCCGTCAAAATCCGTACATTTTCCGCTTCATTTTTTTTTAATTTTTTTCTACTACCCCTATAAAATTCAAACAAACCCCACAGAAATAAAACATATCGAAAGCGCGTGAAAAAAAATTGGTATTTGCTAATGATATCATTCCATTTGATCATGGAATTCCAGTACAACAACTGACATTTTCGCAGATTTGTTGCTACTGCCATTAGTTTTCTTGTATCTGCATGAGATTATCTGACATTTTCTTCTGCTACTTCTTGCTGGATCACCCAAAAGATTTTCCTTCAAGAACATCTTCTGATTTGATTGATCAACAAAAACCCATCAAGGATTTCCTTTCGTTTTCTTCTTTGTTTTGAGTTTTCGACGAGATTGAGTCATGGGAAAAAGCAATAGTAGCAGAGATTGGGCTCAGATCTATGCCATTTACGGCATGAATCAATGGCAAACTCTTGTTTTCCTTTTATGTCACGCTGTTTTCTTCTCCCTACTTTCGTTCATCTTCCTTTTCTACTTCGGCCCTATCTTCCACTTCTTCCAAACTATCCTTCCCAGTCCTAGCGCCGCCCGTTTCGCCGCCGGGTTCAGCGGGGCCGTCACGTCGATTTCAGCTGTCTGCTTGTTCCTCGCGGCGGCAAACTTTTTCTACTCCGCTGGGCCTTTGCATTACGAAATGGCGCAGCGGATGGTGGGGTCGGTTTATGATTGGTCCACGGTGAAGCTGGCGCTTGATGTCGGTTGCGGCAGAGGTATTCTTCTCAATTCGGTGGCGACTCAGCTGAAAAAGGCCGGAAGTTCGGGTCGGGTTGTTGGGTTGGATCGTTCTAAACGGACAACTTTGTCCACGCTCCGAACCGCAAACATTGAAGGTTTGTTAATCTAAAACCCTTCTAATTTAAAAGTATACGAATTCATACATTAAATTCATCATTAAAAATGGCGATGGGGAATTTAAAACAGGCGTGGGGGAGTACGTAACTTGCAAAGAAGGAGATGTGAGGAGTCTCCCGTTCCGGGATAACTATTTCGACGTGGTGGTTTCGGCCGTGTTCGTCCACACCGTGGGAAAAGAATACGGCCATCGCACGGTGGAGGCAGCGGCGGAGAGGGTGAGAGTGTTGGGGGAGATGGTTAGGGTCTTAAAGCCTGGCGGCGTGGGTGTCGTTTGGGACCTCCTCCACGTGCCGGAATACGTGCGGCGGTTGCAGGAACTAAAGATGGAGGATATTGGAGTCTCCGAGAGTGTAACTGCCTTCATGGTTAGCAGCCACATGGTATCCTTTAGGAAGCCCAATCAGCATATTGTGGGTCCGGGGGAAGTCCGATTGGATTGGCGATGCTGACGTGGAAATAAAAGCATACTTAAAAGAATAAATCGAATATTAATTGAATTAGTATTGATAGTCTTAAAATCTAATTTTGTGGGGGAAATATACATAGAGAGTACTCTTGTTTTAATTTATTTATAATTTACATATGTCTGGGGAGACGAAGCCAAACCAGATGATTTTGTTTATATATGTCCGCGAATAATGAATAAATTTTGGTCTTCTCATGGTTTTACTTTTTATATTTTTGTTTAGTTAGTTTTCATTGTTACGTATACCAAAATTCTAAACATAAGTATCATCTATGTATTCATAATAATAGGCTAATTTCGATTCCCATATAAAATCAATCGATGAAGCACTGCGAACCGATCGGTTCAATCCAGCCGATTTGCAAATTTCAGGCGGCTTCAAGTAGCTGAAAGCCGAAGGCCGCACAACTCTCTGGTATGTCACTAAGGCTTGGCCGCCGATGGAGCAGCAGCACTAGATATCAATGATTTAAATTGTAGTTATGTTTTTAATTACGTTGTGTTTATGTAATTACAAATATGATAAATATTATTAAGGTCGTTATAAATACATTGGTAAATATCATTACTATTATATAATAACTGTTATTTTAATATCATATCACTATTTAAATTCCTACCAAATATGCCGGCACCCGTTAATTACGTTTCTTTTCAACCCAGAGTTTGTAAAAAGTAGAAAGACTAAACTAAGAGAATCTGAAAAGAATAAATTTGCAGGTAAATATGAAACAGAATTTGTCATTTGAAATATGAGAAAAAAGTTCTAAACTCTGTGTATAATTATTATCTATACTCTCAGTCATCTGATAATGGATATTTAAACATTTATGTAGATATCGTGCTTAAACTTGAGACCTTTAGGGATAACAATAATCCTTTTATCCACCAAAATTGTTTGATTCGTATTATTTAACATTATCTTATTAATTATCATTATTAACATCATTTTTGAGCTTTTGTAGACAACGTATGTTTTTAACTAGATACTATTTTTTTCACTAGTTATTGACTTTTAAATTTGATCAAGTTTTTTGATATTGATGCATATAAGATTTTAAAGGTATTTGATCGTATCTGGCCAAAACGACCGAAAACGATTCTAACCAAGTGATGCACTTTTCAAAGAATCACAATTTTTTCTAACAACCTAAAAACAACTTCGACAATATAAATTTTAAAATTAAACATAAAGTAAGAAAAATCTATCTTTTGATCAAAGTAATATATATATATATATCATGTTAAGAGCAAATTGGAGTTGCATGGAACTCATGGGGACTTAATTGGCCTGTTAATCAAAGGAACAAGAAAACAAGAATGGTGCCATCTTCCCATGGAAGATAAACGTAGCTTCGTTTATTTCATTTTAAACGAAATAAATGTCTAGCTTTATTTATTACTCAATATCAACAAGGGTTTTGTCGTTAGAAAGAAGTTTGCATCTTGTTCTCAGCTAGTAGGCTATATCTATCGTCTTCACTATTTTTCATGGGTAAACTATATATTTAGTCGCCTAATTATTCTTGTGATTTTGTTTTAGTCACTCAACTATTTTTTTTCCAAAAGCATACCTAAAATTATGTTTTAGTTACATTTTGATCACTCGTTAAAATAGACATAACTACTGATGTGATAACTTTTTTTTATTTTTTCAATGATGGCGTGACATTATCTTATAGTGACACGTCAACATCACCGTTAATTTTAAACAATGGATGACCAAAATGTAACTTTAAATATGATTTTGAGAAAAAAATAGTTGGGTGACTAAAACGAAACCGCATGAATAGTTGGCTGATTAAATATGTAGTTTACCTATTTTTCATTTGCAGAAGCTGTCAACAATCCCCTTGCTTTATTCAGATTCAAGCTTATTTCTTCATAACATGCTTTTCTTTCCTTTTATCTGGGCCTGAGTTATGTACTTGTTTCCCACTTTTACTAACATCATTGACTATACAATGATTCTTTATGTTTGGTCAAGCAATTACAAAACAAGAAAGATCAACAAATCCGATAGAATCAGTTGATTTGGCTTTTAGATTGGTTTTGAATCTGAACCAGTGAGTCTGCACCATTTCAAGCTTCATTTGTGTAAACTGCTGGAAAGTTGCATACATGTTCCATTTCCATGCTTATAGTTACATGTTTTGTTTGCTCCGTTTAGGCACACAGGATTTGTGTATCACAACTTCGTCAAAATCCAATACATCTCACAGATTTTTCATCATTTCAAAGTCTCTCTTGGTTAAGGTCACAATTATATACTACAACAAATGGTTGGCCATTACACTCATCTGCTACTGCTATAGCAGCTGTATGTAAATTGACAACGAAGTGAAATTCACTGTTTTTCAGCCAGTAAGTCGGGTAATTTCCACTTCCCTTTCATGGGTGAAGGAATTTAATGACCGATGCTTTATTTTAAAAATGATCTTTTATGTTTGATGAATATATGGGGGAGAGTAAAGTGGCTAAAAATCTAGCAAAAATCCTGGATTTTTAGTCTGTCGAAGCAAATCCATAAATATGTGTGGAGTTATTGGCCACGGAATTCAGAGGAAAACATCCAAAAAAATATATATCTTCCAATCTACAATTTAGTTGTGGCCTTTACATTTTTTAATGGTTTACAATATCTGTTCTACTCATTTATCTTCAGCCAGGAACAAACAGAGATGTGTCATCATCACTCATGTGGGCTCCTTCATCCATCTTTCTACGTGCTCTGCTTTCTACCCAAATCCATGATGTCGCTTTTACAAACTTCATTTTCACCCATTCTAACCTTAATACTTTTGACACCTTGTTATGAAAATAACAATGTTTTGTTATATATAATGAATAAATAAATAAATTTGTTTATGAATATAAATGGATCAAATATATAAAGATATTCATATTGATTCGTTTATTAAATAAACATAAACATTTTATTTATGTTTATTTATTCGATTTTATAAACGAACATGAATTAATATTATACAAATAATTCATAATAAACTCACACATTTGGTAGGTTTTTATATATTGTTAGTATAAATATATTATATTAATCTACGATCACATGTGGAAATGATGAGATTGCATTTATTTATTTACTTTTTAATTTCTCAAATAGTAAGCATTATTGGTGTTTTGGTCAACTATGATTATTGTATTATATATTTTGTAAAATCTTATCCAGCTTTTATTATGTGGACCTTATTTTCTCATCCTAAAATTATCTTCACCACCAATCACACATAACGTTATCCACTGTATGACACTCTTCAATAGGCAACGTGCACTACCACACTCAAAGACCATCAATCACAGTCCAAGCATAAATAGTGTAACTTAAAATCACATCCATCCACAAATAGAATCCTAAACTTTTTCAGAACGCAGATTTAATCTTAAGCCTAATCGCATAGAATCTCCCCAACTCTTCCTCGTATAAGAAGAGACTTCCGACATTTTGCAACGTTGGAAAACTAGAAAATAGTATTTACAAGTGGCAGTTGAAGCCTTTGTGAGTTGCCGGGACATATCTCGGTTCCTCCTTGAAACTTATCCATGGCGTCTCTTCACACAACGATATCTCCTCAAAGCCTCCTTTCTTTATCAAAACCTGGAAAACCCATCTCGAGGCAGGTCTCAGCTTCCTCATTAACCACCTCAAAGTTGCCCGATGGCCTTGTTTTCTCCGGGACCAAACCGAAAAGGAACAGCAACAAAAGGGCCAACTCGGTGGTGGTGAACTCATTGGCCGAGGAGTTCGATGTGATTCCAGTTCAAAGTGAGGATGTTACCGATATGCAAGAAGGAGTCACGGTGAGCCAGGTGGAGAGAGAATCGCCTGGGGAAGAGCTGGTGAGTCAAGTCAGTGGGTTTGGTAATGAAGGGATGTTATATTTTGAAGGGATTTCTTCTTCGGGTTCACCTTCAGGGAATGGATTTGGTGATGGAGGAGGAAATCAAGAGGAATTGGATAGGCTTATAGATAGAACTATTAACGCTGCTATTGTTCTTGCTGCTGGTACGTTTGCCCTTACCAAGTTGCTTACCATTGATCACAATTATTGGCAGGTAAGATTATTTGTATATTTCTATCTGCAAATTTTATTTTGAATTGGTTCTGTTTCTGTGGAAATCTGCAAGATTTAGCTTGGGAAAATGATGATTTTCATAAATTGTTTCCCTTTTTTTCTTTTAGTTGATGAGTAATGCCAAAGATTTCAACTTTTTTTGCTTTGGTATTTCCTTTCTTTTCCTTTTCTTTTTAGAGTTTTTCTTATGAACATGTAAAAGATCCCCTTTTATATACGTATATTACCTTCAATCGGTAATTGCCATTGTTGAAGGCTTGATTTGTTATGAGTGGACTGTGTTGATGTTTGATATGCTTATGTACCACTTGAATGCCTAGCATTGGTAAGTCATAATCGATTTGATCTGCAACCTACGATGAACTTAAAGATTTTGGCTTTCAATGGTAGGGATGGACTATTTATGAGATACTAAGATATGCACCTCAACACAACTGGAGTGCTTATGAAGAAGCTTTGAAGACAAATCCTGTTTTAGCAAAAATGGTTATCAGCGGAATCGTCTATTCTATAGGGGATTGGATTGCGCAAGTAAGTTTATATAGTCAGAAAAATACTTTCAACCTTTTGGTTTTTGGTCACATAATTGTCTATTAAAATTTATCTTGCCTTTATTCTTTCAGTGCTTTGAAGGGAAACCTCTCTTCGAGTTTGATCGTACCCGAATGGTCAGATCTGGCCTTGTTGGTTTTACTCTACACGGTTCCCTGTCTCATTACTATTACCAGTTCTGCGAGGTAATCATTCTGCACTATATGTCTTACAAATCAAGTTCAGTGTTGATATTTTTATCTGGTTTAATGAAACAACACTCGTTTTTTTTCCGCAGGAGCTTTTTCCTTTCCAAGATTGGTGGGTGGTTCCTGTGAAAGTAGCTTTCGACCAAACTGCATGGGC